CCGGCCCGGCCATGTACGCGGGTCGCAAGCGGAGGAAGCCAGTGCCCCGGGCGTGAGTGGGGGGCGAGGGGAAGGGTCCCGGGGAGGGGGGGGGGACGCGGCGTGACAAGGACCGGCGCCCGGTAACGCGGCTCTGCCCGGCAGGGTGCGGCCGGGGCCGGCCGAAGGCGGCACCTCCAACCCCTCCAAAAGGCACCGGGAGCGGCTGAACTGGGAGCTGGAGCGGCTGGCGGGGCTGCTGCCCTTCCCCGAGGAGGTGGTGGCCGGGCTGGACAAGCTGTCGGTCCTGCGGCTCAGCGCCGGCTACCTCCGCGCCAAGAGCTTCTTCAGCGGTAAGGGCATCGCCGGCCGCAGCGTCCCTCTGGGTTTTCTCCCCTCCCCACCCCCAAAGTGCTTTCCCACCCCTTGCTCCCCCCCGCTTCTAACACCGGATTTTCTCGCTTGGCAATCCCAAACTGCAAAGGCTTCGGGATGCATCGCGCCTGGGCGAAAGCAGAGCTCCCGCTCGGCTGGAATTAGAGGGATGCGGGCGGATGAAGTTGATTTTGTTTGTGGGTTCCGCTGAAGTAGAAAATTGAGGTTTAGGCTGAAGGGTTTCAGCGTGAGCCCGGGCTGAGGCTTTGGCAGGCAGAGCTGCGAGGGTGGGTGGTGTGTTTGTGCAGCCCCGCTGGAAAGTTTCACGATGCAAGTGACTTTTTTTTTCCTCTCATTGTAATAGAACAGTGAAATACTCAGTGTGCTGACAACGAATAACAATTACCTGTGATGTGGTTACAGTTTATTTGGGAACCTCTTAAAACAGACCGTGTTAAAGACATGCCTGCATTCCACTGGGCTATAATTGTTGTAATTAATAGGAGCCCACAGGAGGGTATTTAGGCAGCCCTGGTGAAATAGCAGTAGCTTGAGAATGCTGCATATGACCTCAGAAACACCATAATTTCTCTTTTTAACTCCAAATCATTGAATGCCCCTCTTTTTTTTTTTCCTCTCCCTTTTCCATTCTCTTTTAAACCCTGCTTGTAGGATTGGCAAGTGGGTGAAATGAAAAATGAATGGCCTCGGAGAGGAGTTCTTTGCCTTGCAGCATCAGGTCAATTTGTTTGTTTGACTGTATTGGCTGTGTTTTCTGCACTATTTTTGCCCTGCTAAGGAGCTTTGCCGCATCAGCCTTTGCAATGCTCAACGTGTTACCCCAATCCCATCGTCTGCAACGATGCTCTGAAGCAGAGGAAGACCAGCATGGTGCTGGTGTTTCTAATGCACATTTGTTCTTGTGTGGGGTGGGATTCCGTGGCGCAGTGCGGGCCTCGCTCATCCCCTGAAACATTAATAATTTAAAGTTCACTGCTTAAAGAATTTATAAAACAGAGGGGTAGTAGCGATTCCTTAAAATGGTGGGTTTGAAATGGCTGGTCTTGTTGCAAAGTGTCACACTAGGAGTTGCTTTGGGGCTTGTCGTCCTTTCCAGGGTGGCTGTGCCCAGACACCATGCAAGCTTGGCTGGGGAACAGCAAGCACAGGATGACTCCGGTGGGGACCGTCTCCCTGCCCAGCGAGTGTCCTGCTAGGGCTGTGTGTCCTGGGGTTTGGCATTCCTGCATCCCCGACATGGTGGGTTACTTTGGTTTTGCATTGCGAGAAACTGGGAAATCCCATTCTGAGATTCTCTCTCTTTTTTTTCTTTTTTTCTTTTCTGTCATTCCATCTGGTTTGATTTTGTGGTGCCAATTTCCCCCAACTGCTGAGCACTTGAGTAAGTCTGAGGTACCTGCCTCTGTCTGGTTTAAGGCAGATCACAGTAATTCAGGTGTGGGAGGGAAGGAGGAAAGCCTCATCCTTTTAGATGCAAATGGTGATTGCAGACTTCCTGGAGTCTCTTCTGCAGCTTTAAAAAAAATTAAAAAAATTTAAAAGGAGCTCTGGGCAAGCCCATCTACAAAATCAAATTATTTTAATTTACTTTAGTCCCTTTCAGTGTGAATGCCAGAGTGATGTTGCTCTCTGACAAGCTGTGCTGGAGCTGAAATAAAGTTCAACTTTGGAAGGCTGCTGTTCAAAATACTCTGCTTATTGCTTATCCTTTCCTTGCCCTTTTTCTTTTTGGTCATCTGCATGTTTAGGGTTTTTTTTCCCCCTTGGTCTGTTAGAGAACCGGGTTAGGAGGGGCAGCCAGGGTCTGCCTGCCTGCTGCTGAGCCGGCTGAGCTTGCATGCTCCGACTCCCGCTCAGCATCCTTGGATACGTGAAACGGGGTCCCGAGGAGGCTGTTTTAGCTGCTGAATGCTGGCAGGCCCTGTGTGAGATCAGATCAGAAAACGCAAGGAGTTTGGGGTCTTTTTTTTGTTTATTGAGAGCAGCCAGCCCATCCCAGAGCTGTCAGAAGGCAGCTCAGAAACAGGCAGTGCAAACCCTGATATTGACGGGGGAGGAAGAAGGAGCCGGCATCTCCCTCGCTCAAGTATGTCCCTGCTTGAGCACTCCCTGAAAGAGGAACAAGGAAAAGCAAGGGCAGAAGTTTGGGTGTGCTGCCATGCCTTGTGAGAACCATCTTTGCAGCATGTCCTCCTGGAGCAGGTCTCAGCTGGTGCCAACGATCACTGACAGCAATTCACCCAGCAGATTTGTGCCAGCTGCTGTTTTTCCAGCCCCCATCTTAAATAATTTTTTGTATGTCTCCTTCTCCTGGCTATTTGAAAATTAATTATTTTAAAATTTTATTTCAGCATCTTGATTTATGCATAGCTGATGTATCGCGAAGTTTATATGGGCTCAAGTGATTAAAAGCGCTGGGCTCTAGATCTTGGTCCCTGGTAAAGTCTCTGGGAGCTTCTCTTGTTTTGTTTCGGGCTCCCGATCACCTTCTGGCCACATGATAAATTCTTCAAAATGCAGAGCAGGCTTCACAGCCCTTGTTAAACACGTACTTGTGTTTACATTGCAGAGGCTGATCTGCACAAGTCAGGGTGGATTGACTGAGCTGTGCGGTGGAAGCAAACCTGCTATTTGGCTGTTGCTGATAGCCGAGATACGGTGTGCAAGAAGCATCTGTGCGTGCTTTTATCTGAATGGTGGAGCTTTGAACGTTGGTTTGGGGAGGTATTGCGGGAGGTCTTTGATTTTTAAAAAGATATGTTTTTCCTTTATGCATGAGGATTTTTATATTTTATATGGCCCCAAGTGAAACTGTCCCTGCTCCCTTTCTGCCCTTCTGGAAGCACTACTGAAGTTAGGTGACAGAAATCAGAGAATTTAAGGCTGCTCAGTGTTTTGTTGTTTAATCTCTGGAGTGGTTTAGAGATTATCAAATGTTGTCTTTGTTAAGCAGGATTATTCATGTAAACAAAAATTTTCTTAGGCTGACGTGCTGAGTACTGGGTTGGGTGTCTCTGCTGTGAAACCCCTGACGCCAGGTGGTGGTCTGCAGGTCTTTGGAATTCCAAAGGACAAGAGCATCCATGTGTGTGTTTGTCTATTAATTCTGTTCCTTTTTCACGGTCTGGCAAATCTTTCCAGTTTAACAAAGTGGGAAGCAGTTTAGTTGCCATGTGCGTTCAGCGTCTGTCATGGTTTAACCCCAGCTGGCAACTAAGCTTCATGCAGCCACTCGCTCACTCCCCTCTGGTGGGATGGGGGAGATAATCGGAAGGGTAAAAGTGAGAAAACTCATGGGCTGAGATAAAGACAGTTTAATAGGGAAAGCAAAAGCCGCGTGTGCAAGCAAAGCAAGACAAGGAATTAATTTACCACTTCCCATCAGCAGGCAGGTGTTCAGCCATCTCCAGGAAAGCAGGGCTCCATCACACGTAACGGTGACTTGGGAAAACAAATGTCATAAATCTAAATGTCCCCCCTTCCTCCTTCTTCCCCCAGCTTTATATGCTGAGCATGATGTCATATGGTATGGGATATCCCTTCAGGGTCAGCTGTCCCAGCTGTGTCCCCTCCCAACTTCTTGTGCACCCCCAGCCCACTCACTGGTGGGGTGGGGTGAGAAGCAGAAGAGGCCTTGATGCTGTCTAAGCACTGCTCAGCGATAACGAAACCATCTCTGTATAATCAACACTGCTTTCAGCACAAATCCAAAACACAGCCCCATACTAGCTACTGTGAAGAAAATTAACTTTATCCCAGCCAAAACCAGCAGAGCATCTCTGGGGAAGGAGGATTCTGGGCCATGATGGCTCTTGGCTGTGGTCTGCTCCTGGAAGGAGCACTGCTTTTTGTCTTGTACAGCAATAATGATATAAGATTGTTTAGACAGGTGTTGGGCTGCAAGTCATGTAGACAGGCATCCTGATGTCAAACAGGAGGTTCTCTCTGATTTTGACCATCTGAAGGACACTCCGGCACCCAGTACATAGAGCAGAGAAGTGACTGGGATTGCAGAGTGCCCACCCTGGGACAGCAGATTTTCCTGTGGCACAGCGCAGGGCTGACAAGGATGGTGGGGAGCCAGCTGTGCCACCAGCAAGCACACCCCAGCATTCCGGGTTTGATCAGTGGTGGGATGGAAGAGACTTCTCTTGGGATGGAGCA